CCCCCCAGGGGGGATGGCCACACCACAGTCCCTTCTCCTCCATTCTCCTCTTGGGATCTTGGGCACGCATGCCCATGCGCCCTGCGTGAGTTTTAAGCCACCGAGTCCAGGACGCGAACCATGGTTGACTACGTGGGAGTCAAACGACCTAGCCATTATGCTAACTGCTGGTCCCCAACAAGAACAATTAATAAGTCAGTAGTATATGGACAAATATTTGCAACCAGTATACACAAAGAACTCCTATAATGCAGTTATACAAATGATTTGAATATACTTCACAAAGGAATATATACAATTGATGAGTATGTATACACAAAGAAATGTCCAATGTGAATAACAATGAGGAAAACATAAATTAAAACCAATGAGATATCACTTACTATATACCCAACATAATGGCTAAAACCAAAAGACTATCACTATATGTTGATGAGGATGAAAAGCTGGAATTCTCATACAATGCTGGTGGGAATGTAAAATAGTACAACCACTTTGGAAAAATATCCAGCAGGCAGGTTTTTAAAAAAGAAAACAGACCTATCCTACGACCAAACAATTCTGAGTAACGAAAACGAGTACTCACAAAAATACTAAGAAAAATGTTCAAAGCAGCTTGATTCATAATATGCAAAAACTGGAAATGGCCCCGGTGTCCATCAACAGAAGAATGGATAAACAAACTATGGCATATCCACACAATATGCCAGAGCAAGGAAATAAAATATTAGCTAAAGTCTAATACACAGAATCCCAGTACTAGGGTAGCTAGTTGAAAAAGTATAGTGAAATAAATATTAATTCAGTATCCTAGTATTAGGGTAAAATTTTTCTCTTATTCTGTAAATTTAAAAACCTGTATCAAATAGCTTGGAAAAAGCCATAAGATCTATAAGATTTGCTAATTACATGAGGGAACTGACCACCAATAAAGCACTAATAAGTCAATACCATTAACCAATACTTTCTGGCTAGGAGAAATTGTTAATACTTTTATTCACTTTTATTGACTGATCTGAATTCATTTTCTAAGAACTGATTCAGTTTAAAGTCAATAGTGTTGAAACACTACCACCACCCCCATTTGCAGAGTCTAGCCAGTGGCAAGAGCCATCTACCAGGAGTGAGAAAACAGCTATTCAACAGTCAGGATTTCCTAGTTTTAAGATCCTGTCAGTTATGTGGAAAAAAGAAACTCAAAAGTAGTGATTATTAGGAAAAGTTACAGAAAAAGTAAAACCTGAAATAGTCCACCACGCTGTTTCAACTACAATGGAATGTCATGTATTTAGTAAAATGTTTAAATGTAGCCTGTGAATATTCTTCAGAATTACAGAACTTTGACACCCCATTTGCTATCCTACAGGCTTTCCTATCCCTCATCTCCGTGTCTTAAGGTATTTATGGACCTTTGGTGGCAGTCTCTCTAAACTCTATTAATTTCTTTTCCGGATTCAAGACATTTTTTTAAAACCCAAATTCTTAACTAACTTCATATGCAAACATCTCTCCAGATGGTCAGTTACCAAGGTAGTTCTTAAATATTATAAAAAATTTCAAACACAAAAGAACAGCACAATGAACACTAACTTCCAGAATTAGTAACACAAAGTCCATCTTTTATCAATAGGTTGTTGGAAGTCAGGACACATTTTTACATAGAAAAGCCTAAAAAATCGTCATTAACTTTTCCGACAACCTAATATAAACCTGGCCCTCAGAAATTTTTTTAAGAGAGGTTTTTTTTTGTTTGTTTTATTTTTATTTTTGCTATAGGGCATGTGCACTTGCTGGAGAGAGACAGAGACAGAGGAAGCAAGAAGTCAACTCCTGGGGGGATGGCCATGCTGTAGTCCCTTCTCTTCCATTCTCCTCTCAGGATTTTGGGCACTCATTGCCAGGTCCAGGACTGAAACCAAGGTCGACTAAATGGGAGTCCAGCGACATATCCATTATGCCATCTGCTGATCACAACAGATTATTTTAAAGTAATTCTCATATTTATCATTCTAAAGCAGTTTTAGTCAGACAGTAGGTAGATACATAAAGGTCAATCCTTTTCTGAAGTTAAATCCTATGTGTCCCTGAAAATTATTATAGGGAAAATTGCCTTTGATAATTGAGGTAGAAGAGAAGACAAGTGTTCTGAATCATGTCGCTTCTGCTGAAAATAATATTCGGGGTATGCTAGGGGAAAAGAAGAGGTTGTGTTTGGTTATATTCATTCTCTTGAATGACTAATTTTTATTATAAATGGAAATATAAAAAGCTTCAGAGTTTTCATATAAAATGGACTAAATTTGTCCCAAATTTAGAAAAGTCTGCATTAAGTTCATATGCCACCCCCTTCTCCAAAGGACTATTTCATTATTCATGGAGATTTATGTCTGAATTAAGTTCTGAGTGTCTGGTATTCACATAAAAATCTACGATTTGTTTTTTTATACTTTTATTTCCAAATCTAATTAAAAGGTTATGCCTTGATTATAGGTTCCAAGGAAATGAAAGATGTTTTAAATTCACAAGTCTTGAATTTCAACAGCAAAAGACTCAATATTTTCATCTGCTCTTAATCAAGGCAGAAAGCCACAATTAGTTTTGAGAATAAATATACACAGCAAAAAAATGAATTTTAATTTTTTTCTTGCTATAGAAAAATAAACCAGCTTTTTATCTTCAGTGTGACCAGATTTATGTCATGAAGGAGTGAAGGATCCCAAACAAACCACAGTGCCTTTATATGTTCTTTCCCCCAAAATTCTAAATGGATGCAAGCTCAATAGCAGGAAAGACAGGATATCTTTTGTAACATCAAGGGCAACTAAAGAGGTAATATATTTAAAAAAAAAAAAAAAAAAAAGGAGGCTCCATATGTATGCTACAGGCTGATCTAAATATACTAAATCTTGTTTATTTTTTTTTTATCAGAAAAAAGAATTTCCTTTTTATCCGGCAGCTGCTTCCAAGAACCACCAGACTGCTACAGCAGAACAGGTTGCCCTTACCATCTCCGTCTACAACCAGAAGGGCCAAGGCTCATTCCTTTATTATTACTTAGAGAATATTGCTTTTAATACACAAAAAGGGACTAGTATGATTTAACCAGACCATAAATCCTGTTGATTGCAACTGTAACTATTAGGTCGGTCTAGTACACAAGTTGATTTCAGGTTTTTAAGCTATTAACAATCACCTAACTGTATTACATTAATTGATAATGGAACTCAAAGCAAGGCAGCAACTTGTAAGTTTGAAATAAAAATAAAATTCAGAAACCTAAAGCAGATGTGCTTGTTTCTAAACCAGCCAAATCCCAGACCCACAGTTTCAAAACAGACTACAATCTTCTTAAACACCCCTTTATAAGCTAATTAGCAAACCATTAGTAGTTGAAGGTACAAGACGAGCACTTGTTACAGGTTACATATATTTTAGAAGTGTTAGCACATTCAAAACATGTTGGGGAGGGGCTTTTCCATGTTATAAACTTAACTAAGATAAACCTAGATGCAAAACAATATAATTTGAAGGCTGTACAAATCGAGAAACCAGGTAGTTAGCAGAGAAAGAGCTAAAACATTAATACACACGGGTTGTTGCAAAGATTAGCATACTGTCATCCATTTTTCTTTATTACAGTTGTTGAATGCCAACCAAGAGCAATGTGTTAAGATCAAGGAAACAACAACAAAAACCTAACCAGTGCTGTATCTATTATGAAGCACTCTTTTAACTAGTACATTGGCTTGTTTAGAACTCATTATTATCAATCATCTTGAGAATAGTAGATTGAAAATGGAATATCTTTTTATTTTTGGAATGGATTCAACTCCAGTACTTTCAACTGTTTAAAGCACCTCAAGTCCTGATGTCTCAATTGGTTCTTTTAACCTAGGGTGTAGCTGCAGGGGGAAAAAGAATAAACTGACTAACAAACCTTTTAAGAAGGTGAGGGGACCAGCAGTTAGTATAACGGCTGTGTCGTTGGACTCCCATGTAGTCAACCACGGTTCGCGTCCCGGACCCAGTGGCTTAAAACTCACGCTGGGCGCATGTGCGTGCATGCCCAAAATCCCCAGAGACGAA